CATGTCGCACGTTCGCTTTTCCACTTAGCGTTTCAATCTCGAGTTTGTGCATACGTGTCGCGTTTCAGTTTCCCGTTTCAATTCTGCAATCTAGATCCCGACTTTCAGCTTCGCGATCTAATTTCGCAGATCGATTTCGTATCACAGTACGTCGTTTCACAGTGCTTCCCTGACGTACGTTTCGCCGCGTCTGTCCACCCACTGCAGGCCGCCGTGCACCAGCCGTTCCCCCGCAGACGAGTGCCACGCTGGTGGATGCCCTGAAGCAACTCGCGACTTGCGAACCAAGGCCCACCTGCCGTCCCACCCCAAGCTAACTCCCTACCTCACCCACCCGCTGCCACTGCTCCTGCTCCTGCCTAGAACGCGGACTGCCTGAAACCTTGACTGCCTGAAACCTTGATTGCCTGAAACCTTGACTGCCTGAATCCTGGACTGCCTGAAACCTTGACTGCCTGAAACCTTGACTGCCTGAAACCTTGACTGCCTGAAACCTTGACTGCCTGAAACCTTGACTGCCTGACACCTTGACTGCCTGACACCTTGACTGCCTGAAACCTTGACTGCCTGCATCCTTGACTGCCTGACACCTTGACTGCCTGACACCTTGACTGCCTGAAACCTTGACGGACTGAATCCTTGACTGCCTGAAACCTTGACTGCCTGAAACCTTGACGGCCTGACACCTTGACTGCCTTAATCCTTGACTGCCTGACACCTTGACTGCCTGAAACCTTGACGGACTGAATCCTTTGACTGCCTGAAACCTTGACTGCCTAACACCTTGACTGCCTGAAACTTTGACTGCCTGAATCCTTGACTGCCTGAAACCTTGACTGCCTGAAACCTTGACTGCCTGAAACCTTGACTGCCTGAAACCTTGATTGCCTGAAACCTTGGCTGCCTGAATCCTGGACTGCCTGAAACCTTGACTGCCTGAAACCTTGACTGCCTGAAACCTTGACTGCCTGAAACCTTGACTGCCTGAAACCTTGATTGCCTGAAACCTTGACTGCCTGAATCCTGGACTGCCTGAAACCTTGACTGCCTGAAACCTTGACTGCCTGAAACCTTGACTGCCTGACACCTTGACTGCCTGAAACCTTGACTGCCTGACACCTTGACTGCCTGAAACCTTGACTGCCTGACACCTTGACTGCCTGATACCTTGACTGCCTGATACCTTGACTGCCTGAAACCTTGACGGACTGAATCCTTGACTGCCCGAAACCTTGACAGACTGAATCCTTGACTGCCTGAAACCTTGACTGCCTGAAACCTTTGCTGCCTGAATCCTTGACTGCCTAACACCTTGACTGCCTGACACCTTTACTGCCTAACACCTTGACTGCCTGACACCTTGACTGCCTGAAACCTTGACTGCCTAACACCTTGACTGCCTGAAACCTTGACTGCCTGAAACTGTGACTGCCTGACACCTTGACTGCCTGAGACCTTGACTGCCTGAAACCTTGACGGACTGAATCCTTGACTGCCTGAATCCTTGACTGCCTGACACCTTGACTGCCTGAATCCTTGACTGCCTGACACCTTGACGGACTGAATCCTTGACTGCCTGAAACCTTGACTGCCTGACACCTTGACTGCCTGACACCTTGACGGACTGAATCCTTGACTGCCTGAAACCTTGATTGCCTGAAACTCTGACTGCCTGAAACCTTGCCAGACTGAATCCTTGACTGCCTAACAGCTTGACTGCCTGAAACCTTGACTGCCTGAAACACGGAACAGCAGCAGGAAGGCGACATCAGCCGTGCCTCCAATCCCCTCTCACCCTAAAGTGGCCCGCTCTCGTCCCTTCCTGCCCTCTGTCACACTCAAGAGACCTCCCTCCCCCAAGGTAACAAGGTAGCAGGTACGTGCTCAGGTATTTGGTTTAGTGTGGTTCAGCTGGTATGAGGTCTCTTGGGTGTGCCACTGCAGCAGTCCCATTCATGCACGCATCGTTCTTGCAATCTCCTTCTTGCTTCGTTCTCGCTTTAATCGCTGGTTTTTGCTTCTTTCCTCATTGCCTTCCCCACTCCTCCTCTGCTCCCCAATCACACCCCTGTCCTCCGCTCGCCTCCCCTCCCCACAGTATCACTCCGCATGCAGCAGAAGAGGGAGCAGAGTGGCTATGCGTGTGCACACAGGCTGTGCCTGGTGGGAGGGTTGCTTAGCTGGAGTTGCGGCAGCACAGGCGGGGAAGGCAGCAGAGGGATCACTGGAGGAGAAGGGGAGGGGAGTGAGGGATGAGGCAGCAGCTCTGTTGGCGGCTCTTCATCTGCCTGTTAAGTCACTCCTCCTCATCTTCGTCCCTCAACTTTGCTTGCTGCGCATTGTTCATACTCCTTGCTTTCTCTTTGCCTCTCAAACTTTCGCCTCTGGTTGGGGCCAGCCTCACAAGCCACAGACTCTCCCCGTGAATTCAGGTAATCTCTCCGGCTCAAGTTCAGGTTTGCCCACAGGCCCCTCAGGTGCAGGTTTAGGTTCAGGTTATCTCCTTAGGTCCCCTTGCAGTCTGTGCCTTGTGCTCCTGCCCCCTCCAGTGGCCCTTCCCCTCTCTCGCCCTGTCTGTGAGACTCATACTTGTCAACTATACTGGATTTCAACTCTGCCCACTGACCAGCTCTGCGTGTGTGCTTTGCTGGTGGAGGGGAGGGGCGGGGGTCAACACGACACTCCCTCACGCCCCTCCCCTGTGGCCGTGCAGGTACCCGTGGGGATGGGAGGGAGGCAGCACTGCCAGTCGCTGCCACAAGGGAGAGTATCGGGGTGGGCTTGGCCTCTCAAGGTACGTCAGCCTCTGTCTTGCCCTCATCCCTCTCCCTTTCTGCTCTTCAGTTCCGCCTTCTTGTTTTCCTCAGCTTTAGTTTGTTTTCTTGCTAGTCATGCCAACTCACTTGCTCTTACTTCCCCCCTTTCTTCCCCCCTTACCAGGTTACTTGGCATCGAGTGAAGACTGTAGCGGTGCTTCAGCTGCCGTCTGCTCGCTCTCACACAATCAGCTAAGTGTCCCTTCCTCCATGCCCTCGCCCTTGCTGCTGCCATTTCGTTTTCCGCATCTGCTGTCACACCCTTCCTCTTGAAGCAGTGCCACTGGTTAGGTCCGCCTCACATGCCACAGACCCCCCAACTCCAGGTAACCCCTCAGGTGTAGATCAGGTGCAGGTAACCCCTTCAGGTGCAGGTAATCCCTTCAGGTGCAGGTAATCCCTTCAGGTGCAGGTACGCTCTCAGGTTCACCCCTCGGGGTCTATGCTTTGTGGCTTGGCCTCCACCAGTGGCCCCTCCCTGCTCTCGCCTTGCAAACTCTCTTCTCGCTCTTGCACTCTCACCCTTCCTCCCCTCGCTGCCCACTGACGAGCTCTGCGTGTGTGCCTTGCAGGTGGAGGGGAGGGGCGGGGGTCAACACCGACGCTCCCTCACGCCCCTCCCCTGTGGCCGTGGAGGTACCCGTGTGGATGGGAGGGAGGCAGCACTGCCAGTCTCTGCCACAAGGGAGAGTATCGGGGTGGGCTTGGCCTCTCAAGGTACGTCACCTGCCCTCTTGCCCTCGTCTCTCTCTCTTTCTGTTCTTTAGTTTTGCCTTCTCGATTTCATCAACTTCAGTTTTGTTTTTCCTTCTCTGGTTTAGCAAAATCACTTGCTTTTACTTTCCCCCTTTCGTCTGCCTCCACCCCCCTCGCCTGTGGCTGTGCAGGTGCCTGTCTGTGGGGATGGGAGGGGGGCAGCTCTGCCAGTCGCTGCCACAAGGGAGAGTATCGGGTTGGGCTTGGCCTCTCAAGGTACGCCGCCTCCCCTTTTGCCCTCAACCCTCTCTATTTCTGCTCTGTGGTTCCGCTTTCTCTTTCTCGTCAACTTCAGTTCATTGGTTTCTCTAGTCCAGCCTATTCACTTTCTTTTACTTTCCCCCTATTCTTCTGCCCCCACCCCTGCAGGCCACTGGGCATCGAGAGAAGACTGTAGCAGAGAAGCTGAGTAGCAGACCGGCAGCAGCAGTTGTAGCAGCAGAAGCAGCAGCAGCAGCAGCAGCAGCAGCAGTGGGGGGTGTGGGGTTCGAGGCGGGCTAGCTTAGGTCGAGTCGTGAGCGAGGCGTGGTATGGTATCAGGTAAGGTATGGTGACAGGTTTGGTATGGAGATCTGATCCCCTACTCTCTTTCTTCCTCCCCACCCTTCTTTGCAGCTTGAGTATGGAGGGAGCACTGGAGCAAGGGCGGGACAGAGGCATCTCTCTTTTCATCCTCACCTACCCCTCCCCTTCTCCCTCCCGCTGCCCCCCTCTCCACTTTCCAGCACGGTCGATGCAGCCTGAGGGAGAGAGGGAGCAAGGGCGGGACAGAGCCATCGCACTAACCCCCCCCCCCCCTCCCCTCCTCCTCCCTCCCCACTTCCCAACACCCTGAGGCAACATGGCGCTCTGCATGGCTGTGGTAGGTAGAGGTAAGAGGCATGGGGTGAAGGGGAGAGTTGGGAGGCGGTGGGAAGCATGGGAGCAAGTGGGCAGGTCACTCTCTCAGGGGCAGCATCCTCTAGGGATGTGCCTTGCGGTTCGGGGTGTGGTGGGTGGAATCTGCGCAGCACGGCACTCGGTGCTCAAGTAACTAACCTGACGTTAAGGCTTAATGGGCACCGTCAGAGTCGACCGGCCGGCGACTCTGGTTCGCGTCAGCTCTAGCTACGTCAGGGGTGGGATTTGAGTCTTGGGCTGGAAGCAATTTTCCACTACCACACCTCGCCCTTCAAGGCACAGCCCCTGGGGGTGCTGTTTCCGAAGGGGAGTGGGCTGTCTGCTGCTCCTACTGCTGGCAGGTAAGGTGGGGAGGGGATGGGTGGGCTGGGTGGTGATGGTGGTGATGGGGTGATGGTGGTGAGAGGCAGTGGGGTTGGCGGTGGCATATGATGAGCCATATGGCACTGGTGCCACCCTTAAGCATGGAAGCATGATGCTCATGCTTGGCTGGTTGGGGGCACATGATGAGTTGCACTGATGCCACCCTTAAGCATGGAAGCATGATGCTCCTGCTTGGCTGGTTGGGGCCACATTATGAGTTGCACTGATGCCACCCTTAAGCATGGAAGCATGATTCTCATGTATGGTTGGTTGGGGGCACATGATGAGTTGCACTGATGCCACCCTTAAGCATGGAAGCATGATGCTCATGTATGGTTGGTTGGGGGCACATGATGAGTTGCACTGCATGGAAGCATGATGCTCGTGAGAGGGTGAAAGGGGCTGAGTCCCCTTGGATGGGTGAGTGCACGTGAAAGGTGCTGATTCCCCTTGGGTGGGTGAGAGCAAGTGAAAGGGGCTGAGTCCCCTTGGGTGGGTGAGTGCAAGTGAAAGGGGCTGAGTCCCATTGGGTGGGTGAGAGCAAGTGAAAGGGGCTGAGTTCCCTTGGGTGGGCGAGAGCAAGTGAAAGGCGCCGAGTCCCCTTGGGTGGGTGAGAGCAAGTGAAAGGGGCTGAGTCCCCTTGGGTGGGTGAGAGCAAGTGAAAGGGGCTGAGTCCCCTTGGGTGGGTGAGAGCAAGTGAAAGGGGCTGAGTCCCCTTGGGTGGGTGAGAGCAAGTGAAAGGGGCTGAGTCCCATTGGGTGGGTGAGACCAAGTGAAAGGGGCTGAGTTCCCTTGGGTGGGCGAGAGCAAGTGAAAGGCGCCGAGTCCCCTTGGGTGGGTGAGAGCAAGTGAAAGGGGCTGAGTCCCCTTGGGTGGGTGAGAGCAAGTGAAAGGGGCTGAGTCCCCTTGGGTGGGTGAGAGCAAGTGAAAGGGGCTGAGTCCCCTTGGGTGGGTGAGAGCAAGTGAAAGGGGCTGAGTCCCCTTGGGTGGGTGAGAGCAAGTGAAAGGGGCTGAGTCCCCTTGGGTGGGTGAGAGCAAGTGAAAGGGGCTGAGTCCCCTTGGGTGGGTGAGAGCAAGTGAAAGGGGCTGAGTCCCCTTGGGTGGGTGAGAGCAAGTGAAAGGGGCTGAGTCCCCTTGGGTGGGTGAGAGCAAGTGAAAGGGGCTGAGTCCCCTTGGGTGGCACATGATGGGCTGTATGGCACTGATTCCACCTGTTGCATGGGAGGTGATGGTTGTGAGTGTGAGTGGTGAAACTGAGTGTGCAACTGGTTGGTGAGTGTGAGTGAATGAGTGGTGGAGGGGCTGGTGAGGATGAGTGGTGAGAGTGAGCGTGAGTGCGTGAGTGGTGAAAGTGGTGAGGGTGGAGTGGTGAGAGGTTATAGGTGAGAGTGAGCAGTTGAGTTGTGCATGACGGTAGTGGTAAGAGTTCGTGAGTGGTGAGCGTGGTGAGGGTGAGTGGTGAGAGTAACAGTTGTCAGTGGTGGGAGCGAATGAGTGGTGGGAGGGAGTTGTGAGAGTGGGAGGGGAGAGTGAGCCGCAAGGTTGGGATTTGTGTGTGCGGTGGCAGTGAGAGCAGAGAGGGTGGTGAGAGCGAGCTGTTAGTGTGGTGGGGTGGGTGGGACTAAGTTGCCATGATAGTGGGTGATAGACATGATGCAGGTGCGTCCTCCTGCAGGTGCTGTGCTGTGCCATGATGAACTGATGGGGGAAACTGATGGGAAACTGATGGGGAAACTGATGGGGAAACTGATGGGGAATCTGATGGGGAAACTGATGGGGAAACTGATGGGAAAACTGATGGGAAACTGATGGGGAAACTGATGGGAAACTGATGGGGAATCTGATGGGAAACTGATGGGAAACTGATGTGAAACTGATGGGAAACTGATGGGAACCTGATGGGAAACTGATGGGGAAACTGATGGGGAAACTGATGGGGAAACTGATGGGGAAACTGATGGGGAAACTGATGGGAAAACTGATGGGGAACTGATGGGGGAAACTGATGGGAAACTGTTGGGGAAACTGATGGGGAAACTGATGGGGAAACTGATGGGGAAACTGATGGGAAACTGATGGGGAAACTGATGGGAAACTGATGGGGAAACTGATGGGAAACTGAAGGGAAACTGATGGGGAAACTGATGGGAAACTGGTGGGGAAACTGATGGGAAACTGATGGGGGAAGCTGATGGGGATGGGCAAGGACTGACAGGAAGCACCAAATGCGCACAAACAAAATACAGGATGATCACCAAGTACAAGATGATCACCAAGTACAGGAATGGTCACGGGGATATGTTCACACACCCCAAAGTTTAGCGCTGGAGCAGTGACGAGCGGTAACCACAGCTACCAAGTACACTTGGGGAATGGAAGCTACACCACTCAAGCAGTATGTATAACCATAACTTCCCCCTGTGCCTCTACATCAATGTTGCCACACCATTGAGCTCTTGAAAGGAGACACCGCAGGACTGCTCAAGCTTCATTGACAAGTGACAAGAAGACCCTCAAGCGCCCGTTTGTTGAGTTGTATGCTAATGTAAGCAAGAGGACTTTTGTTCCTGCCAGAGGGTTGGTTGGAGGGTGGTGCATGATGTTGTTTTTTGCAATTTGCAGGATGAGGTGAGGAGGCGTTTTCTGAAGGACTGGTATGCATCTGCACACAAGAAAATGTATGAGCTTCTGAAAATTTCAGGAACTACGGTAGACACTTGCTTGCAAATGTTAATGTATCCTGGATGATGGCAAATTATAAATGAATTCCAGAGAATATCCCTTATCCTTTTTACATCCCATTCCCCCATGATACTCGAATGGTTTTTGAAGGCTTCACAATGCGAGACAGAACCGCACAGTTTGAGAAGGCATCGGGTGCGATACCGTACCGAGCCACGTTACAGCGAGATTCCGCGAAAAGCCTTCAAATTGGGAAACTTTTGGCGCGCAACTTCCGTCCAATCAGCCCACAAGCATGTCAGAAAGGCTCCGCACCAACGAAGCGCGGGCCAGCGAGGTGAGCCCAGAACTCTCACCTCACCCCCATGGGCTTTGTCATTACCTTACCGTCACACGACTGTGCAGCTTTGCTTTCCTCAGCGGCGGAACCCCCACGGCATTCCCAAGGCTTTCCTCTCTGCTCATTGCTCAGACTGCAAGTCACTGCACCTGCAAGCTCTCCTCAGAAGATAGGTTGCCCGATTAGTTAGCTTCTGCAACAGTACGCCTACGGTTCCAGCTGGTTAGACTGATGAGTGACTTTTAATCGAGTACTATCTGTTGTTCGACCTGTTACTAGTCCATGGCTCAGCTTTCGCATTAATCAGATTCCGGCTGGTGCTTCGTTGCAAAAATGTAATACCTTAAGCTCCTTGAGCAAAGGTCATATTTGTCGTCTTCGTTTCCATTTAGCGAGGGGTGACTCCCAGAAGAAACAACCTAACTGGTGCTTCTAGATACAGCTAGGCTCAGCGTTCATACAGTTCAACATGAGAATCATTCTTCCCTGATGCACCGTCGCAAGCTGAGATACGACAGTTGTGACACCTAGCAAGGCTTCTTAGCGAAAAGCTTTGCGACAGCAGCATCTCACAGCAGCAAATCGCAGCTCGACACCTTTTCAGGTTCCCAGTTGTCTAGCGACCTTCGAAACTCCAGAGTGAAATGACGCGGGGACAAGACGACATGTAGATTGTCTCCTGAATCATGAGAGGCTCTTGCGACGGATGCGGTTGTTTCGGCCGGTCTTGGGTTACCTCCGAGTGAGTGCAGCATCTTCCAGGCCGAGTGACGGAGTATTTGCTCCACCGTCGAAGCTGTCGGAAACAAACGTTTCTCAACCTCCGTGAGACCGAGGCAACGGTGGGAGCAGCATCGACGACACTGACAGTCGGGCGTCGAACAACGCATCATTCTCCGGAATACGAATAAGCGGCGGGAAGCAGCGTTCGCAGCTGTTCGCAAACGGCAGCATAAGTGTTCGCCGACCGGCATCGCAAGCAGCGCTTTTTATTGTGTCCGATTTCTGGCCGTCAGGAGGTGCGAGATGCAGGTCGTCGCAGGAGGACGTTTCGATGCGTCAAGTGTGAGACGTCGCAAAACACGTGTCGATGCATCAAAACGGTCGACATGACGTGGCCGTCAGGAGCAGCGTGACGCAGGTCGCCGGAGATAGCTCTGCGCCCATCGACTTCCTCGCCGGAGATTACACCATGAGGATCGCATGCGGTCGCCTCATACACCATGAGAATCGCATGCGGTCGCATCGACTTTCTTCGGCGTTCCCTGAGATTTCGCACGCGATCAACGGTACGTGATAGCGAAGGCTGTTAGGGGGAATTCTTGCAGGCGTCTAGAATAGGAACGCCTAGAGAGTCTCGTCGTTTTCCTTCTTCGCGTCATGTGTGAATCTACCCTCTCTCTAACGCGTATACCATCCCTCTTCCCCTGTCCGCTTCGTTCTCCCCTCTGCATGTGTGCGATTAACTCCGAAGCACGGGATTCGGGCCGTCGCCAGTGAACCCTGCAGCGTCTGAACGAGGTCGCACCAGAGAAGAATCGAAGGTGTGGAGTGAAGGCCTCAAGTGAAGGCGCGGCACAGGAGCCGCACAGCAGCGCAAGGAGCATGCGTGGTACGCGCCAGGGGGTGCTTGCAGGGGGGAGTGTAGTGAGTTGTAGAGCGTCGCTGCGCAGAGGCAACAGTCGCGTCTCTTGCTTTTTCCTCCGCCACTCGCCTCCTGCTGTTTCTAACCCTCCCTTGTTGGTGCCGCTTCTGTGTGCGTGTCTCTTTCCCCACACGTGTGTGTGTGTGCCTCACGGCCTGCGAGCATGGGCAGCAGGAGCAACGGAGCAACCTGGAGCAACTTGGAGCAGCAGGCGTGAAGGGAAGGCGTGGTGCAGGAGTGGCAGAGCAGCGGACAGAGTGTGGTACGCGCCAGGGGGTGCTTGCAGGGGGGAGTGTAGTGAGTCGTAGAGCGTCGCCGCGCTGAGGCAACAGTCGCGTCTCTTGCTTTTGCCTCCGCCACTCCCCTCCTGCTGTTTCTAACCCTCCCTTGTTGGTGCCGCTTCTGTGTGCGTGCCTCTCTCCCCATACGTGTGTGTGTGTGCCTCACGTCCTGCGAGCATGGGCAGCAGGAACAACGGAGCAACCTGGAGCAACTTGGAGCAGCAGGCGTGAAGGGAAGGCGTGGTGCAGGAGTGGCAGAGCAGCGGACAGAGTGTGGTACGCGCCAGGGGGTGCTTGCAGAGGGGAGTGTAGTGAGTCGTAGAGCGTCGCCGCGCAGAGGCAACAGTCGTGTCCCTTGTTCTTGTTTCTGCCACTCGCCTCCTCTCCTGTTGCTCCTAACCCTTCCTTCTTGCGCCGCTTCTGTGTGTGTGTTTTGTCTCCCCGTGGTTGTGAGGACGGGGGGGGGGGGAAGGGGTGGAAGGGTAGGGGTGGGAGGAGGGGGGTGGGAGGGGTAGAGGAGGGGGTGGGGTGGGGGGACGGCTCCTGTCCTTGTTTGCGTGTGCGTGTGCGTGCCTGCGAGTGTGTCTCTCAGGCTCCAAGCCATGGAGTGCATTGTGGATCGGTGATGGGGACAACATTTGTTCCTTGTGCAAGACAAGAGTGACGATGCAGCAGCAGGTGAATGCGTCCTCCATTGCGTCTGATTGTGAGGATGGGGGAGGGGGAGGGGAGGGTGAGCGCATCCTGCATTGCGTCTTGTCTCAGTCCCTTCCTTCTCCAGCTGCCATCTGCCATCTATTCTGGCTTGTCAGTGCTCCTTCACATCCCCAGCCGCTCATCCACTCGCTTCTCCTCTCCTTTCTCAGTTCTCTCTTCCTCTTCCTTTCCATCCTTGCTCCCCTCGCCTACAGCAACTGCAGGATGGTGGCAAGCACACAAGCAGTGGTGGTGGCAAACACACAAGCAGTGGTGGTGGCAAGCACACAAGCAGTGGTGGTGGCAAGCACGCAAGCAGTGGTGGTGGCACCAGTAGTTGCAGCTACAGCAAGCTGCTTTCTCTTCCAACAGCAAGCTGCTTTCACTTCCAACAGCAAGCTGCTTTCTCTTCCAACAGCAAGCTGCTTTCTCTTCCAACAGCAAGCTGCTTTCTCTTCCAACATCGAGCTGCTTTCTCTTCCAACAGCAAGCTGCTTTCTCTTCCAACAGCAAGCTGCTTTCTCTTCCAACATCAAGCTGC